GGGGGGTCCCACTCAACAGCAAGCGGGGGGGGTGTCCCACTCGACAGCAAGCTCTATGCGCTTTACACTATATTATTACCCCAGCAGACCATAGAAACATTCTCAGCTTCCCGGGAAGCATGCAGTGCAAGCAGCTGGTTAAGCGCTCAAACACTAACAAACTGACAAGATCTTTTGCTGTCTTTGGCCGGGTACCCATTCCCACGATTACGAGTCCGGTAGCCTAACCACTAGGTCACCGACCCAACAACCTCATGATTACGAGTCCGGTAGCCTAACCACTAGGCCACCGGCGCCATAATTGTTTAAAAACCCACAGAGTGCGTTCACTCACCAGCAGAGCCATATCCACGGCCTCCTCGTAGAGCCCCATGAGGGAGTAGATGTGGACGCACGCTCTTTTCAGGTCGCACTCGGCGCACAGTCGGAGCGCGTACTTCACATCGTAGCTGATGTCTTCCTCGTCCTGGGAACATCACACGCAGGGAGTGGGTCGTTTAGGTTAGTTGTAGGGTAAGAATTTTACAATACTTGCAACATGGGTCATGTAAGTGCCAAAGATTAAAGGTGTTACAAGAGGGAGTTCGGATTTTTAAAAGTTTTAGTTACAGTTTTAAAAGGTACTTGTAACACGATAAAGTCATATAAGTGCTGAAGACTGGAGGTGTTACAAGAGAGTAACAAACACACAAAAAAGAAGTTTAGTTTTGGAAAGAGTTTTATGGCATTTGCAACACAATAAGGTCATATAAGTACCGAAGATTAGAGGTGTTACAAGAGAGTAACAAACACAAAAACGAAGGAGAAGAGATCAGGACAAAAGATGTTTGATAGGAATGAAGGAGCAAAGCACATCAGAGCACCCGCCAGCCGCCCACAGTTTAGTCTTAGTGTCAGAATTTTCCAATACTTGCAACACGAGTCATATGGGAGGTGTGCTGACAAAATGAGTTATTTCTCGCAGTCCACAATAAGACAGACTGGCCAACAATAAAACTTTAGGATCACATTTTTTAGACTTTCCATTGCTGCCATACTCTACATGCTTTTATTATTTCCTACTTATAAATTATAAAAACTTCACCTATAAGCGTGACGTATCTAATTCCATAGGGCTCGAATCTGAGAAGCAACTCATTTTGTCAGAAGCCTTCACATATAAGTGCCGAAGATTAAACCCGTTAAATGAGAGGGTCTTTTTTTTATAGTTATAGTAACAGTCTCAAGGTACCTGTAACACAATAAGGTCATATAAGTGCCGAAGATTGTTGCTGTTACAACAGAGTAACAAACATAAAAAAAAGAGGAATAGAGATCAGGATCAGACGACCAAAAAACGCATTAATTCCATCGATTCTTTCGCGAACATTATCAAATATAATAATAATAAATAATGACATTTGTATAGCGGCCAACCCTAATTTACTTCACTCTGGGTGAGCCTCGCTTTTTACCTCTCCTTGGTGTAAGTAGGTCATGAAGTTGTGCGGCTGGAGAGAGAGGGGGAGAGAGAGACAGAGAGAGAGAGATGGAGAGAGAGATGGCGAGAGAGAGGGAGAGAGAGAGAGAGAGAAGAAAGAAAGAGAGAGAGAGAGGGAGAGAGAGAGAGAGAGAGGGAGGGAGAGGGAGAGATAGAGAGAGGGAGAGGGAGAGAGAAGGAGAGAGAGAGAA